ATGAGACAGTATGTATAAAATATTGTGAATGAATCAAGTAAGGTAAGTTATATATAAAAGTTGAAAATTACTGGGATTGTAGTAAGATGAGTTGAAATAAAATGGACTAAAACAAAAAAATAGTAAATACAGAGTTTAGTTGTAAAAATTGTAAAATATTGATATATAATTAATGATTATAGATTGTAGTTACAAAAATATAGTGAATATAAAAATTGAAGTATGATGAAAAATGCCATGAAATGGAAATAGAACACTAATTAACAAAAATGCACTTTGAGTGAAATACATGGAAATTAGGTAGAAAAATAATAAATTACAATATAATATAATTAAATATAGTATAATATAATATAATAATACTAGATTAGATGGATGAGCGGTTGGTGTCCGGCTGATCGGTGATTGATTTGCGGTGTCTATGAATAATTGGCATGTTGAGCATAGGGTGGATTATGTATTGTATTTGCGTTGGCATAGGTTTTGAGGCTTGGTTTTGATCGGTGGTAGTAAAGTGTGGGCGACATGATGATATTTTGAGCTTAACTTGATTTTAACTTAATTTGGGTTGAGCTTGATGACAGAGGGGAAAGAAAATTTCAAAATAAAGTCAAAGAATGAGGGAAAGAACTTCCAACAAAAACTTGGTGACTAGGTAGATTTTCGAAAAATTTTTCTGTGGTCACGGTAGACCAACTTTTTTTGGCTTATAATAGGCTTATAATGTCAATTTTCCCTTCAAAAACACTACTTTTCCCGTTGAATGAACGGCTTTTACTAACTTTTAACACAAATAACGCTAATAACGGGGATCCGCCACTGAAAACGCCTAACACTGTTTTATGCATATATTTAAACTTAGAATATATGCGCATATTTTTATAAATTCAAAAAAGCATTTATATTTTAAAAGTAACCCCCCGATCTCGGGGAAAATGTCTTCTAAACGTGTGTTGTTATTGTTGTTATTTTGTTGATGTCAAAAATTTCACATGATAAATTTCAAAAAAATTCTATTATTGTTTTTCAGGAAGTTAAATTATACAAGACTGCAAGAGAACGAGATAGGTTTGTTTCACAGCTTGTTTTTTAAAATTATTACATAGTGTTGTGTGTAAAATTATTTCTTTTACAACAGATATGATAGTTTAGCAGAATTATTTGCGTTAGTA